AAGAATCCAGGGAGTAGACGTAGAAGAGGATTCCTTTTTATTGCAACTTAATCGATTCTACTCTCAGGTGACGCTACGAGACAGGTAACTCTGTTTCGCCTTTGTTATTGTTGGTGAGAATTCAATCACAATGTTTAAATGTATCTCAATCCATTGTTCCTGTTCTGATGAGAATTGGTCTGAATGTTGATGATCAGATTAGGTAGTTTTTATTTTCTATTTCTGGTTTACTTCGAAATCTGCTTAACTAGATCTCACCATGGTAGTAGACTCTAGCTTTGCTATTTCTGGTTTATTTTCTATTTCTGGTTTATCACAAGAGTTGAATAACACTGTTGTGGTATTTTCCGGAGCCATGAGAGCTCCGCTCTCATAACTAGAAAATGAAAATGAAATAAAAAGAGGAAGAAAGGAAAAATGTTAAAAAGTTGAGGATGATGACAGGAATGAATTAATCGCAAAAAGAATATATATAAATAAATAAAAATAAAAAAATAATGAATAAATTAGGAGAAGAGAGATGAAATGAAGAAGTTAGTATATTTGATTACTTTGTTAATAAGAGAATTTTCTTTCATATTGATTTGCTCTTGTAGTTTAATTTCATTATGATAATATTATCTTGATGGATTAATGTCATCTCTATGCTTATGCTTATTTGGAGCATCATGTGGGCCCCACCTATCAGACTTGGGAGAGGAGTGCCTAATTCCTTCCCTCTTCCATCCAACCCCTTACTCGGATTGATTAGTCAGTGCATTGGGTTAATGGAGTCACTATTTAATAAAAATGATTTTGATGCCATTCTCGGAGGTCCCATTACCTCTATTTTCATTACTGATGGGTGGCGACTATTTCCAACCCAAGTGGCAAGTGAGCCGGTTTTTCAATGCTCACAATCTTCTTCAACTAGGTTAATGATTGGAACCTCCTCGGTCGTGGTGGGGCCAATGGGCTCAACAACTGTCGCCCGAGGTGTGTCTTTGTGGGACGTCTTCCTCTTCCTTTTCTTCTTCTTTTTCACGTTAGAGAGGAACCCCATAGTTGAAATATCTAACATGTCGCCTACAAAAGAATGTCGAAAGTCAGCTAAATCAGTATGAAGAAAAGCAACAAAAGTTGAGTATCCACACCTAAAGGACTCATCCTGACCTAAATAAGCTTCTCTTTGGATAAGTCGTCCAACTACAAATTGCGTTCCACCAGGTCTCACATCCTGGCCTCCATACGCTCACTCAATTCTTCCCCGACGTCCTTGTTCCCTTTCCTCCAATGTGTCGGGAAAGGCCACCCGGTACCTAGGGTGACAAAGAAGTACTTGCTCTTCTAGGCCGGGACCTTAGATGGGAACCCGTGAAAAAGTCTATACCCAGGCTGGTAGGACAAGTAAATAAAAACTAAATTTTCCTGAGCTACTAATCGGGTTTTGCTTGATTAGGCAAAGGGCAGTGAAACTTTTGATATCTAGAGAGAGATTGAGCTGGTGAAAATGAGAAATTGTATTGAATAAGATACGGATGGAGTTCGGGTGCAACTGACTTATTGTAAAAATTCAAGACCTCGAAGATAAAGGATGAAACGGGAATCGGAGACTGGCTTTTAGGACCTCTTTGAAAATGGCGATGGAATCGCCCAAATCCAAGCCCC